ATTAGGCAGAAATAAAAAATACACATCACTTAAAGTATGAAAGAGTAGGAATAGAAGGATATCTATTTGCATAATTACATAGTATACAAGACAGATTTGTTGTATTTACGTGAGAACAGGTATAGCACTAAATGGTATGAGGTAGTTTACAACATAATTATATAAGTATAAACATAACTAAGAGTAGCAGCAGTACTTACAGTCTAAAATGTGCAGTGAGAGCTTCATTACAGTAGCAGTGTAGAAGGATTAATAGAAATATTGTTTTTTCTGTTGGTTACATTCATTAGAAATAAGCTGCCCACACTGAGAAAGCAAGTGGACAAATGGATCTGTAGAAAAGTATGTATGTACAGTACTGTGCACATGTCAGAGACCACCCTGAAAAAAACCCCAGATTGTTTTTTTGTGCATCCTTCCACTGTCAGAAGACAATTCAACACTATGTCTAAAAGGATGTGTAGCTGTCAAAAAGTTACTGAGAAAAGGAAACAATTTTCACTAATTAATTAACTTTGTAAATGCTCAGTATATCATTAAGTAACATTCAACTAAATATCCATTAAACGCAACTGAACGTGAGGTCCAGTGTTATGTGAATGGTCTATAAGTAATATTCAACTAAATATCTATTAGTTGCAACTGAACTTCAAGTTCATTGTGAATGAGTCTGTAAAACCCTAACACTAACCACAATGTTGTTGAACTAAACATCACTAGAAGGTTTGCTAATGATTTAGTATATGTAGGGCATCTATAGGGGGCCGTCCAAATAAAGTGTCATCAATGTTTTTAGTCCTTGACTCTTCTGTGTAATATTATTTTGAATTTTTTTTCCCTGATATTGAAAAACAGCTTGTACTAACTGACTGTTTTATCCAGAAAATAAATAAATCAAGGGCCTTTTGCACAGTATAAACAAATAAATAATGATGTATAAAAAGGGAAGAGGGAATTTCGGTACATAGCACAAGAAAGCAAATATAGAAATTTTCAGAGAAGAGGCAGAATCTATTTGCATTGTATGTTTTGTTGCTCTAGCACTGTGTTAGCATTGTTGCTGTGTCTGATTGTAGCACTCCTAGGGCAGTAAAAACTATATGTTTCAGTGTAGAACGGCTGTAATATTTGATCTACATTATAAGTTTGTAATAGCGGCGGCATCTGAAGTGCGCATGCAGCACTTGTGTGTCTAACCGCAATGTAGCATCCCCTAGCTCTCATTAGCTTTTATATTGAATGAAATGAAAGGATTCGTGTGCTGGAATGACAGATTTCAAACGCTCCAATGCATCGTTTCCTCTGACGGATGAGCCGATGAGACGTTTCCGGATGAAAATGTGTCTCATAGTCATTTAAAAGCTGCAAATCCTTAATTTACCAAAACATCAGACAGGTGCAAACAACTTGCCATGACAGCTTCCGCTCATTCGGAGCTGCTCTTAGTGCGTATAATGGGCTGTGAACACATTCAGAGCTGGTTTTTACCAATGATAAGCTGATGTTTTACAGCTTGCTTAAGTGCTTCCTCATATTATCAGGTAAATTGCTGATGGCAGTAGTTACTCAGTGACTACATAATGGCTGTATGTAGTGGTCACATAATGTCAGGCTGTTTGAATTAACATCTTTACACACCATCAGTCATCAAACTGGCCACAGTGGAGCTTCCACTGGCCAAAACTGACTAGTTGTGAACCACAGAGCTCAGTGATCTGTCACTCATCCCTAATTAGTTTCTGTAATGCACCCCTATGTATTGGATATCTTTTCCACTCTAATCTGCCTTGTACGTGTTTTAATGTGTTCAGTGAGATGCAAAAGTATTGGGACAATGAGATGAAATGGGTTATTTTTGTTGTATACATCTATTTAAACATATATTTAACAGAAATGCATACAGAATGCTTAACAACTAAACATTTTTGGCATTTATTGTGTCCACTCTTTGCCTTTATTACAGCTTCCATTCCATTCTTTTGGGGAGACTTGCTTTCAGTTTGTAAAAGAAATCTACAGGGAAATTTTTCCACTCTTCCAAAGTTCAGTCTTAGAAGTTTGTTGCATTTTCTGCTTCTCACAATCAAAGTAATCCCAAACACATTCAGTGATGTTGAGGCCTGGACTCTGGTGAATCCTTGTCTCAGTAACAGCCTCTTGACAGCTTCAGACCCATAACATTGAGTTGTCTTCTCACAGTGGAAGGATGGACAGAAACACCTATGCATACTTTTCAGATCTGAAGTAAGAGTGGAGCTTGATTTTCTCCTCTCTTTCAAAGATAAAAGCTTTAAGTGTTGTTTATCTGATGGTGACAATTTTGGTGTTAGGCATCTCAGTCGTTACTTGAACTATCATTTTTTTTTTATTAAATTTCCTTTGACTTTCCCCTTCCTTATGCAATCTAATCTCCTCAGAAACACCTCCTGAAAAATAAATAACTTATACTTAATAACCATTTAAATAAATGAAAATTAGCCTCTTACTTTTGCACAATGCTGAATTGTATTCTAGGTCAGAAGATGAGCATGAGACTGAAGTACAGAAAGTCAGAACATCCCTAAAACAAGCACCAATGCAAAGAGGCCATAAAAGTTTGGCAGAGTATTTCAAATGAAGAATTTGGTGATGGCAGTGGATTGTAGACATTAGGTAGTTATAGCATGTAAAAGGTTTGAAACCAAATGCAAATTTAAAAAAACTTAATTTTGCTTTGAATATTTTTGTCCCAGTAATAAAAGCATAACAATTTGTCCTTTGAGGGGTGGTGCAGTGGGTAGCGCTGTCGTCTTACAGCAAGAGGAACCTGGGTTTGATTCTCTGGCCGGGCGACCAGGGTCCTTTCTGTGTGGAGTTTGCATGTTCTCCTCATGTCTGCGTGGGTTTCCTCCTACAGTCCAAAGACATGTAGACAGGTTATGGACTGGCAACCTGTCCAGGGTGTTTCCTGGCTCCAGCACCCCCGTGACCCAGGACGATAAGTGGTTTAGATGATGAATGAATTCAATTTGTCCATTGTGGTTTATTTCCTATGAAAAACACTACCCAGAACTATAAGCTGACATTCTATGTCATGCTCATGTTTTGATCTAGAATACAAATTATATGACTATATAACAAAAACAACCCAGTTTCACCTTACTGTCTCAATATTTTGCTTCTCATTATATGTCATGTCTGTTGTGGATCTGTGCATATGTTTAGACCATATTGTAAATCTCACTCTTGAGTCCCTACCCTAACAATGCAGGCCATTAACATTCAATTTATGGCAGAAGTTCATCAATCTGATAATTGCTGTTTTGCTGTTTAATTCCGGTGACACTGAGTCAAAGCAATTATGTGAGTTATTTTTGAAAGCTCTCAGAGTGTTGTGGATGTGTGTGCCAGAGCGTGGGTGTGCTTGGATGGATCTGGATGATGACTCCGTAATAAGCTGGGTGTGCTTGGATGGATGGGGCTGTTATAAGCTTCCGATTCCTTATCAGACAATCTCATTTGGAGGAAAATATGGCTGCTGCAACAACATGTAGCAAGACACAGGGATGTGAAATGACTGTCAAGAGAAATGGCTTTTGGCCACTGATCAGTTATCTCCTATAATAAATTCACTTGGAGTACAGAACTCTGATGTTAGATCAGCACTGCTGTGGAAGGTTTACTTAGATGATTAGCTAAACTTCAGCCTGTATTCCTAACAGTGTCCTAGTATATAGATCATTGTGAAATGGTGGAGAGAGTATAACTGTGAACACTCTCTAACAGCTGATGAAACAGCTGATACATGAAAAGGTGCAGGGAGAAGTGTGCTTTGATGTGGCAGCAATACGCTCTCACAATGCATCTGAAATGAACATTTAATTTACTAAGGCTGTAGCTTACAGGCAGACCGCGAAGAGGACCGCCTACTAATTGTGCCATGCAGAGAAATAGTGGAGCAATCAACAAGCTGAGATTAAAGGAAAAATAGTGTTATTCTGCTGGAAACTCTATTTCAGCACCTCTTCGAAGCCTGTGCCTACATAGACACTATGATAACCGCCATTGTTAAAGGAAATCTCCCAACAATACGCTTTCGAGATGCTATCACTAATTACATACACTGAAAACAGAAGACAAGATATTCTGGAGAAACGCATCCATGTGGTCGCCAGGAGTCAGAGTCAACTTGACGACACTTAATAACAATAATTAAAGAGGTGGAGGCTTCAGTTAATTAAATGGAGCTGCACCCTTTTGTCCTGTGCAATCCCCTCTTGTTTTGCACAATTGAATGCTTATGTATGAGTGAGAAATGTACATGGCACTTAAATTGCACATTTAGGTTTGTATGTAACATGGATGCATCCTATAGTTCTATAAAAGGCTAAGTATATTTGGGCTGAACATCTAAACAGGCAATTGAAATTACTAACAGTCTTTTTTTTGTATTGTTTTCATTGAGCAAGTGATTTTTTTCATCTGTTGTACGGCAATGAAATCTGCTGGTGTTACTCCTTTTATAATTATAAATTTCCCTGGATTTTTAAGAATGATCGGTACATTTACAAATAATCTAGATGATTTTGATACATTTATATTTGCATATTTGCATTGCATATTTGCATTTCTATTGTTATAAGATTGACATCATAACAATAGCAGACCCCTTTGTGGTGCTTTTTAGAACCATTTTCAACCATATACCACACATTCTCCATCATGAGCGTTGCTAGGCCAGTTTACGGGGAGCTTTAGTCCTGCCCCAAATGTTTTTTAGCCCCCTCTTTCTAAGTAAAACGTACATTAGTAGCCCAAATCATCTATAATTCATTCTCCTTCACAATATACTGTAATAGCAGGGCACGACTGGAGGAGGCGCTGCTGCTGCTGCTTCTCTGCCTCTAGTGAACGACCAGAGATTGACTGAAGTAAAGTTTAGCCAATCATATAAGACCTCATAAACTGCAAGCCAATCATATCAGACCTGGGGGAGGGGTTCTATATATGTGCAGCGGTAGTCGAGCTGAAGACAGGATTTTGGCTATAAGCTAAAATAAACTTTAGACCTTATTTAAAATCAATAATATACAGAGTGAAACAGTGTTAAACAGAGTGAATATATTCACCTACAATGTGGATTTGAGGCAAATTATGGTCAGTATAGCTGGATATCTATTTTTACTTGGTTGCTTTTTAACTCTAGCTAGCTAACTTTAGTTAACTTAAGGGTTAAGGGTTTAAGTGAGGTAAATAAAAGAGGCTAGGCTAACACTGACATTAGCTAACTAGCTGATAAGCCAACGAGTTTAACCCATAGAGATGGTTTAAGCTCACTTCATAGTGAGTTTGAGAGTGTGAACGAACAAGAGGGATAGAAATAACGTTACTGGCAGCTCTTTACATTCTTTGTTTTTAGATTTCTCTTCTGTAAAACAGTAACACCAGTATCTGCCATATATCGCTGTTTACAGTAGGTTAATGTGAAAAGGACGAGGCTGAAGTCGCTTACTACTCACCAGATTCTTGTTCAAGTTTTTTGTTTTGCAAGGCGCCAGAATGTAACTGCTGAAGCATTTTAGGTGGAACGGAAAATTCAAAGAAGCTGACTTCAGCTTTGTGTGAAAAGGCCATCATAACAGAGTTTTATATTTTTCAGTTCCTCAACCTGTAGATACATTTGATTGATCATTGTTTCTTTAAGTTCTTGTATATCTGAGTTTAATAAAAATGTATTTGCAAACACAGGAAGAGAGGGGGAGAAAGAAGCCTAAGGAGACTGACAGGACTGAAGGAGCAGATCTGATGGAGGTTAGTGATCAAGAAGAAAGCGAGGGAGAGTTGTGTAATCTTTTGGTTAAAATCAATACTGAATTTAATTTAACTTACCTGAGAAAATATAATATTTATCACCATGACCATGACATTCTGTCACCAAGCTTATTACACATGCCTACAGAGCAAAATCACGCTCTTTCTGATTGCACCAACTGAGACTCAACTGATCTATAATCTGTGTGTATGAATAATATATTTAGGACCTTGCAGCTTATCTAAGAGAGAGGAGAGAGCATTGCTTGCCCTCAGTACCTTTGCTTGATCTGTGCCTGTAAATGGATGGATATAGTGTTTGTTAGTGTTCTGCGCTTTATACAAACTACAAAGAGATTTAAGCATGAAATGGTTCTATATAGAACAGATGGTTCTAAACAGAACCATCTTTTTTAGCCTTTACTGCTCTGACTCCACTGGTCAGCAACACCAGTAAGTTTATTTTCAGAGATGTGGACTCAAGTCAGCAACTCAAGTCACATGTTGACTTACTTGCCCTTAACTGACTCGTGACTTGACTTGGCAACGAGACATAAGACCTGAAACTGGACTGAATTTCAGCGTGGGGATAAATAACCATAAATTAAGACTCAAATGAATATTTGAATGAAACTTTTCTTATCCAGTCTTATTTGTGTAATAAGTAATTATTGCAATAAGTGCATTTACATGCACTCAATAATCCGATCATAATCAGATTTCTGGAGTTATCTGATTATTCAAATAGTCATGTAAACAGCATAAGGTCTAGAAATCCAATAAATAGTGCTGGATTTTAGCTCAGTACTCAGATTTCTCAGTGCATGTAAACTCTTACCTGGATTTCTTTCAGATTTCTCAGTCTGTGCACATGCTAAACAGACTGCTGTACCACAAATAAGCAAGCAGCATTGCCGCAAGACGCAGCAAACCACTTTTAGAGCGACGCTAAAACCAGCTACATGCTTGACGAACTGAAGGATTTTAATATTATTTATCTTCTAGATGATGCATGTTTGTATTTTCAGGAAAAGTGGTGTGTGTTTTAAAAAGCTGCGGCAAGAAGTTTGAGTTTTACATTACATTTACGTCACATATTCTTCTGTGAGTTTATTGGCCGGTTGCAAAGCAGAAATCCAGTTACAGCCGGACTCATGTGGACCTGTAGTTTTCCCATTATCCAATTTTCCCAAATCTGATTTTGTGCACTTATCGGATTATTAAGTGCAAGTAAACTTGCAGTTGCTTCAGGTTCAACACGGCTTCCAAAAACGAGCCTTTGATTACAGAAAAGCCTTCAGTCTGAAGGACAGAACAAAGCACTACATGCTATAAGCAAAGTGTTTAAAGAAATATGCAAAACAACATGAAACAGTTGGCTCACATGGTTGGGTAGCAAGTAGCTCAATATAGAATTTAGCTGTGTGTGTTATAGAAACTATGGACTGACCAGGTTGTTTCAGGATGCCTCTTTCCTTCAAACACTGGGTTTTCTGAGCCTGAAGGTTCTGTAATGAAAGGCTGACTATTTCAAGCTATGTTGGATCTGACAGGTTTTAATAGGTGTTAACTTTAGTACAATACTGTGCCTGCAGCTAATAATAAGACTCAACCAAAATTCTCTATTGAAGACTCAAGACTCGACTTGCAATCACTCCCCAAGGAACTCAAGACTGGACTCAGACACGCATGAATGGACTTTTCAATGTCTCTGTTGATTTCTAACATTGATGGATAGAGTTTTTGATAAGATGTTGGATCATTTAGCCTGATGAATTTGATAAATGATGGGATGTTTGGATGCCCCCCCCCCCTTTTTTTTTTTTGAATGAGTCATAATGAGACATGGACTCTTGTTTAATCATCTGTGATTAATCCACCTCTCTTTCATCTGTTTTTAATCTGTTTCTGTCTGTTTTTCCCCCCAGTGTTATTTCCTGAACGCGTTGTTTCGAATCTTTACACTTGGCTTGTGGTTTGTGATTTGGAGACAAGCTGAGCGTGCTAATTGCTGAAGTGGAGACAAAGCAGCAGTGTGATTACTAAGATGTGCAAAACAGCAATCAAAAAACACATATACCTGCCTCCACATGCTCGTCTACTGATGCACTGGGCTCTCTGGAGTGATTTCAATCCAGTAGCAGCCTTTGAAAAAGCACAAAGAGATGTTTGTTTTCATGAGGAGAGGGAGAGAGAGTGGGTTTACTTTTAAGTAGGCGATGTTTGTACATATAACATTCAAATGAATAAGCTGGAGGAATGTTTATGTTGACATTACAAGTAAAATGTGACGAGGCTTCAGGCTAATTGCTCAGCGAGATGTGAGCTCACACTAGCCATCCATGCAGTAATGCTCTCTTCATAATGTTTATTTGTACACACATCATTAATGCAGTGTCTTCTTCCCCTGACAACCCTCACACCTCCCCCTGCTCATGAACTGCTTTACCACAAAGCAAGGCTCGACAGGTGTCCAGCTTTGTGGTTTTCTTGAAGACATCTGGATTCACTCTACCAAACACTTTCATTTAGACTTTTATCCCTGGTAAACTGGACCTGTGATGGGAAGTTCAAATCAATTAAGTTTCCAAAGACAATCTCTCCACTTCAGCCAATCAAGCATCTCATTCACCTGATTGATTATGTAAGTTGGGATGGGGGGGGGCAGTGATTAGCACTGAGCATCATACATTTCTTACCCTTATGATAACCCACTCTTGTGTGAACTTTGCCTATATCTGTTTTTCTGCTAAGAAAATTCAAATTATGTGATGACAAGCAACATACAATTCAATTGCTGATGAATAAAATGTTGTGTAACATCATAGTCTTTGGTAGTCTGCAATATACAAGTCAGTTGAATTGAAATGAAAAAAGAGTCAACAGCAGGGGTCTAAGCAAGGGGTGGTGAACTGCAGACCTGGAGGGCCGTTGTCCAGCACAGTTTTGTGATTCTTCTGTTCTTAGCATACCAACTTAGCATACCAACCATCTTGGCATTTTGCTGCTGAGATAATTTAAGTGTGTTTGAATAAGAAAATCACTAAACTGTGCTGAACTCTGGCCCTCCAGAATTACAATTTGCAATCACTAATCTACGCACAGGCCCTATTGTTGGGAGGCTGCAAATTCGATCACCAATGATGCCACAGCCATCTGTGGTCAGGAGTTAAGCTTGATAGCATCATGTCGAAGAGGGAGAAGTTACCAGGTGGAACTGGTCAGGACAAAACTGGAGAGAAAAATGGAAAGGTCACCTAACATTTTCGATGAGTCAAGAATATGCCCGTCACAATTATTAACGTAATTGCTTGTTAATGACACTTTAGAGGGCAGTGGTGAACAATGTTTGTTTATTTGATGCTTGTTGACACTTTTAGAGGGCAGTGGTGAATAATGTTCGTTTATTTGATGCTTGTTAACACTTTTAGAGGGCAGTGGTGAATAATGTTTGTTTATTTGATGCTTATTAATGACACTTTTAGAGGGCAGCGGTGAGTAATGTTTGTTTATTTGATGTTAATACCTTTAGAGGGCAGCAGTGACTAATGTTTGCTTATTTGATGCTTGTTAACACCTTTAGAGGGCAGTGATGAGAAATGTTTATTTGAACTGGAGCTGTGTCTGTTCTCAGTTGGAAGCTATTAAGCTTGGCAGAAAAATGGCTAATCAGCCAAATTTGTCACTTTAGGCTTAAATTTTAATAGCTGCATGCAATGAACAAATGAAATAAAACCACCTCATGAGGTGCGTCAGAGCAGGCTAGCCATAACCATGTGCTTGATATGTCAAGCTGTCATCTTGATCTTTTAAAGCCTGAGTAAGCCTGAGTATTTTTTCAAACTTCTCAATTTTTTTCAAAAAAAACATTCTCTTTGAACTTTCTGTCGAATCATCACATTAAGATTCAAGAAAAGGCATTCTTTCAGTTCTTCAGCAATTACACAGCAAAATCACCAGTGTTTAAGTAGTGTCAGCAGTGGTACATGAGGTCCAGTGTCCAGTAATTTGTAAATGATTCTTCTTAAGAATATACATCCCTGTTTCCAAAACATTTGGGGCGCTGTGCAAAATATGTGCGATGATGTGCAATTCATTTAAACCCTATATTTAATTAAACTAGTGCAACGACAACATATTGAATGTTGAAACTGAGAAATTGTATTGTTTTTTTGAAAAATATATGCCCATTTTGAATTTGATCCAAAAAACATTTTTCAAAAAAGTTGTGACGGAGCAATAAAAGACTGGTAAAGTTGTGTAATTCTAAAAAAAGAAAAACCTGTTGGTGAAATGGCAACAGGTCTGTAACATGATTAGGTATAAAAAGAGCATCCCAGAGAGGCTGAGTTTTTCAGAAGTAAAGATGGGGAGGGATTCACCACTCTGTGAAAGACTGTGAAAGACTGTGCAGCATTTCAAGAATAACCTAACTGATTGTTAAATAGCAAAGCACTTTGGGATTTCATCATCAAAAGATTCAGAGAAATTTCTGTATGCAAGGGACAAGGCCGAAAACCAATATTGGCTGGCCGTGATCTTCAGGCCCTCAGGTGGCACTGCATTAAAAACAGACACAGCTCTGTAGTGGAAATCACTGCATGGACTCCTATTGTCTGGGAACACAGTTAATTTCTGCATCTACAAAGGCAAGATAAAACGCTACCATGCAAAGAAAAACCATATAAGCAAGATCCAGAAATGCCACCATCTTCTATGGGCCCGAGCTCAATTAAGAAGTGTCTCGTGGTCTGACAAATCAAAATCAAATCATGGATACTATGTTCTCCAGGCCAAAGGCCATCCGGCTTGTTACCAGCGCACAGTTCAAAAGCCAGCATCTGTGATGGTATAGGGGTTGCATTACTGCAGATGGCATGGGTGGCATGCACATCTGTGAAGGCACCATTTATGGCGAACGACAAATACAAGCAACATATGCTGCCATCCAGATGACGTCATTTTCAGGGAAGGCCTTGCTTATTTCAGCAAGACAATGCCAAACCACATTCTGCGTATATAACAACACCATAGCTCTGTAGTAAAAAAAATCCAGGTGCTAAACTGGGCTGCCTGCAGTCCAGACCGGTCAACCACTGAAAACAGTTGGTGCATTATGAAACAAAAAATACGACAGAGAAGACCCCGAACTGTTGAGCAGCTGTATTTCTATATCGAGCAAGAATGGGAAAACATTACACTTTCAAAACTACAGCAATTGGTGTCCTCAGTTCCCAAACGCTTACAGATTCTTTGTTGCAAGAAGAGGTGATGAAACACCGTGGTAAACATGCGGCTGTCCCAACTTGGAATCAAATTCAAAATGGGCATATATTTTTTCAAAAAGCAACAACGTCTCAGTTTCAACATTTGATATGTTGTCTTTGTACTATTTTCAATTAAATGTAGGGTTTACATGATTTGCATATCATTGCATTCTGTTTTTATTGACATTTTGCACAGTGTCCCAACTTTTTTGGAAATGGTGTTGTACATTACATCAGAATTATTGTTAAGCTCTGAAAAAGTTTAAATCTCAGCTAATCTCACTTGGCTGGGAGAGATTTCTTTGTTAATGTTCCGAGAGAGCATGAATTCTAGTCATTCTCTTGTTAGTTTGGCCAGCAAGCATTCAAGTTAGCAAGTTGTCAGTTTTGCCAATTAGCTTACTCTTCCACGCAAATGCACACTAGACAATACTGGCAAGTTGGTCCTATCAAAGTTTAAAAGATTTCTAAACAGACACTTGCTATAAACTGCTCTTTGTAGAGGCCATGCAAAGCAAAAAGCGATTTACAAAATCAGGCTACAAGGCAGCCACTCTGATTGGCCTTTTCCTCAAACAGCGAGACAAGCTTTTATTTCACCAGGTACTTTTTCTTTTCCGCTGTCTGGCTCCTCATTTTCAATTGTTTGGAGTGCTGTTTTCATAATTGATCATTTCTCTACATCTCACACTTGAGTGGCCACCCCTAATTCCATTTTACAATCTCTGCTTCTGTCTCTTCTCATTTAGGCCAAACTAACACAACTATAGTTCTGTCTGCTTGTTTATCTGAACAGATTAGGCTGGCAGGGAAACAGCCGTGTGAATGTGCCTGGATGTTTTCCACCGCAATTTATGAACGTTATAGCATTACTGTCTGAATTAAATTTGTTCACTGCGATTTTATTCCATTTGAAGCCTGTCTAATGTTATTTTGTTTGCAGTGGAAGTAAAGTGGTTATGGATCTGTTAAATAATACATTCACTTTCTTAACTTTCTTTTTTCCTGAACAGCTGGCAAGTACTTGTTATGGTCTCCACATTGTTCAAGTGTTTGACCAAGGCTGCAAAATTAAATCTAAGATGCAATGAGAAGAAAACAGTAGCCCTGCTGGACCTGATGGTCATTACTGTGTGTCAGCTTTGTAGACTGTGTCATCAGAACAGTGTAGATCTATGGCTTAATATCAGTTCATTAAGCCATTAAGATTTTTGCTGTTTACATTGAAAATTGCTGCTATCAGAAGAAAGAATAAATGGGGTCAAATGGCAATTTCATGTATATCATCGCTGTCATGAGAAAACCTATCTTCAGAAACCTTCAGAAATCTTCAGAACAATGACTAGAGGTGAGTTACATTTACATTAACGGTTGCATGTGTTTAAATAAAATTTGGATGCATTTGTGCTTTCCTAAGCACCCGGAAGTAACAATATTTTTACTTGAGATTAATCTTTATAGATAAGATGTTAATGCTATACAACAATCTTATTATTTTAACAAGATATTGTTATTTTATATATAATTTGGGACCATTTCTGTTGGTCAACTCAGCATGAAATGTTCACACAATGTAAAGGGAAGCTGGGATTTTCAAATGGTAAAAAAAAAATAAAAACAAAAAAGTTTTGCTACTATGAAATTAATGTGTAAGTTATGTAGTTAAGAGTGTTAGAAACTAAAGTGTAGGCATTAAACAGGCCCTTTATGGGGAGCGCTCAGAGCCTTCTGGGCCTTCAGAGAAGGCCAATGGCGGTTGTTAGAAATATGCAACAATGGCAATAACTAAAAACTATGATTTATTATCAGTGTACTGATGATAATACATGCACAACTGTCATTGCTTCTGTGGACCAACAGCTGGTCTGCTTTCTCTATTGTATTGTGATTAACAGTTGTATAGTTGTTGTATATTGTACAGAAGAGTTTATTGAATAGTGTTTAGTGTTGCATGTATAGTGTATAGTTTGTCTGCATTTATTGTATTTATTGTCTCTCTTCAGTCTGCTGCTGTAGGAGTTACTGTATGTTAATGTAGCTGTTGTAAGCATCAAAAGAAACATGGAATGTCTTTTACAAGCTTCATATGTCCATGTTTAATCTAAAATGGCTAAATGTCCATGAGCATCAAGAATCTCATGTGAGAAATTAGCATTATTGTCTTCATTTTTGACATTTATGACTCAAATTAAAGGCCTAGCTTTAATAGTCATGGTTTGCCAGATATTCAGAGTTCAACCACATATTTCATAAGATTTACTACCTCACATGTTCATACATTGTGTTTGCAGCTTATCAGATTCACTCCTCTGATCATACAGAATTCAAAGGTCACTGACCCTACAATAGCTGATATAGTTTTCATCCAATCTCTCTTTGTTCCTTTCTCGTTCTCTGACTGTTAATTGTGACATCACTCTTTTGGCATCGTTAAAGCGGCGCATCTCATCGTGCTGCAAG